TTCCTTTGACCTTCCTTGAGCTCTGCTTTACTGTGGCAGCAATAACCGCCTGCCTCTCAGTCACAGGCTCTGATAGAGACTGGTGGGCGGTGGTGGCTTAGTGCCAGTCTCCATCAGTCTATGATACCATGGACAGCTCGCCATTACGTCATATAGCAGTATTTCTCCAGCAGTAGGAAGAAAATGGGTCTGAATTATTTTATAACTTAAAGGGAAACGCCGTTTTTCTTCTTCTTCTTCTCCTGGTTAGGTGTGAAGCTTTAACCCGTGGACACTTGAAAGCCATAAACACAAACATTTATAAAACACCACAGACTGTTTTATTTTTTTTCCTCTATTAGGGAAGGAACAAACCACATATAAAACCAATGGTTTCTTTTTGGTAAATGCTAAAGAGCTGCTGTTTCAGACTAATTCTGAAGACTGTTTGAACACTGCTGAATTATGCATTGTTTTTCTTTTTCAGATTCTATCAAGATTACCATCAAAGAAGACGAGGATATCATCCTAAATTGCTCTTTTGGGACAGACATTACAGGTCATCGCATTGAGTGGAAAAAAGATGACATGGATGTTTTTTATTTTGATTTCAGGAGGGAGGATCCTACAGTTGAGGATCCAAAGTTTAAAGACCGGGTCTCTAGTTTTTCAGAAGATCTCAAGTCTGGAGATGCTTCCATTAAAATCAAGGGAGCAAAGGTTTCAGACAGTGGGAAATACACCTGCTTGCATATTAACGAACCTGGAAAAGCTCCAGTACACCAGCGTCTTATTGAGCTTACTGTTGGTGAGTTTATTTTTGTTGTGGGACACTTATCGACTAAAAAAATAAGAATTGATTTTTATTCATTGATTAGAACTTATTTGTCTACAGGAGGATAAAATGACCTTATAATTCAAGTAAAATTGGTTCACTATGAAACAGGATTAATTCCCACAAAAACCGAGAAACTCAAGAATGGTTTCCACAAAAGCCAAATGTATTCAATATAAGGCCTTTTTCTGCTTTGATTTAAAAAAAAATTATATTTAACAAATTGAAAATAGAGGAAGTATGGGGATGAACAAGTAAATGAAACTGAAAACCAGTTTACATGTCATCATAGAATTGAAGCACAGCACTATCTATATCCATAAAAGAGGAAACATCTAAAAACTATAGTAATTTACTCTTTTATTTTGAGTTACAATCTGTAGTTATACATTAATGATGTGACGTATTTTCTTCTTCCTCTTCATTTTATTTACCGTTTTTAACTTTTGCCCTTCATCCATCTTGGCCCAAATACTATAGACCTAAAAATAATTAGTTGTGCTATTTAGACCTGCTACCTGTTCTGTGACGACATGATAATATCCCTCTAATGAAATAGCCAAACTTTCAATTCAGTTTAGATGGTCTATATAGCTCTGATTTGTGATATTGATTATGTGTCATTTTACAAAACAGCTAGACTTAATCAGAGTCTACCTGTTTTGTAGACAGATTCCAAGTCTTTTTATCCTAGATATCAAACAATCTAGTCAGGTTAAGTTGATGTTTTTAAGTTAGTTAAAAGGTTCTTTTGCATGAAGTCAATCATGCATTAAGCCCGTGAAATACAGCATTTAATTCTCTTGGGTAGAGGACTCTAACTTGCATTGTGTTGTTAATTCTTGTCATTCCTTCACACTGATCATACATGTAACCATTGTAAAAGAAAAAAAAATCCCCTAAAAGTTTCTGGTTTTGTTGGTATCTGTGTTAAAAGTCATCTACCATGAGTGACTATGGATTTGTACGACGGAGTATTAGGGCCACACATGAAGAGAAAAAATATTTTTGCCATGACGAGATTAAACTCNTCTACAACCAGTTTTAATGCTTAAAGTGTTCATAAGTTCTGTGAATATTTATATAATAGAATGAGAAAAAAAGATATCTGAAATCAGCCCAATATTAGCCAAAAAATATCGGAATATCAGCCTGGATTTACATTCTCCAATATGAGCAAGCTGATAAAAACACTCTGCTTGTGTTAAAAGTTTATATAACACATTGGTGAATAATAATTGGGTCAGTAGTCCCTATACCTATTGCTGATGACTGCAGTCACCTGTTTCAGTAATATCACTTGATCAAGCATTTTCCATCAACCCATTTAGGAGACTAGTATTAAATGTAACTATGATTTGTCCTGATATTATATCGGGTCAAAATCACCATTGGTTACTGTTAAAAAATTCTATGTTGGTATCATAAAGGAAGTTAAAATGAGGGCATTCCTAAAAAAAATTGTGGAAATAAAAATTTAACCTTATTTAATCCATTGTATAGATTATTTTTTCTCTATAACGGTTATCTATTTGGAATTGTTTATCTAACTCGATTTATTTTATCCAGAGGTGTAATAATAGTTAATATGATTTATGTGGGAAGGGATTGTGTCACAATCCCTACCCACATAAAATAATACCGTAAATATTTCAGGGTAACCTTTACGAAAAACTGAAAAGATTCATGCTCTGTATTTTTTTCTTCTCCTGGTTAGGTGTGAAGCTTTAATCTGTGGACACTTGCAAGCCATAAACACAAACATTTATAAAACACCACAGACTGTTTTATTTTTTTTCCCTTTATTAGGGAAAAAGGAACAAACCACATATAAAACCAACTCTTTCTTTTTGTTAAATGCTAAAGAGCTGTTGTTTCAGACTAATTCTGAAGACTGTTTGAACGCTGCTGAATGATGCATTGTTTTTCTTTTTCAGATTCTATCAAGATTACCATCAAAGAAGATGAGGATATCATCCTAAATTGTTCTTTTGGGACAGACATTACAGGTCATCGCATTGAGTGGAAAAAAGATGACAATGATGTTTTTCATTTTGATTTCGGAAAGGAGGATCTTACAGTTGAGGATCCAAAGTTTAAAGACCGGGTCGCTCGTTTTTCAGAAGATCTAAAGTCTGGAGATGCTTCTGTAAAAATCCAGGGAGCAAAAGTTTCAGACAGTGGGAAATACACCTGTTTGCATATTAACCAACCTGGAAAAGCTCCAGTGCACCAGCGGCTTATTGAGCTTACTGTTGGTGAGTTTATTTTTGTTGTGGGACACTTATCGACTAAAAAATAGTAATGACCTCAAAATTCAAGTCAAACTTGTTCACTATGAAACAGGATTTATTCCCACAAACTCAAGAATACCCTCCACAAAAGCCAAATTTATTCAATATAAAGCATTTTTCTGCTTTGATTTAAAAAAAATGTATATTTAACAAATTGAAATTAGAGGAAGTATGGGGGTACAAGTAAATAAAACTGAAAACCAGCTTACATGTCATCATAGAATTGAAGCACAGCGCTATCTATATCCATAAAAGAGGAAATACCTAAAAACTATAGTCATTTACTCTTTTATTTTGAGTTATAATCTGTAATTATACATTAATGATGTGACATATTTTCTTCTTCCTCTTCATTTTATTTACCTTTTTTATATTTTGCCCTTCATCCATCTTGGCCCAGATACTAGAGACCTAAAAATAATTAGTCATGCTATTTAGACCTGCTACCTGTTATTTGAACAGATGCAAATATCCTTCTAATGAAATAGCCAGACTTTCAATTTAGTTTAGATGGTCTATATAGCTCTGATTTGCGATATTTATTATGTGTCATTTTACAAAACAGCTAGACTTAATCAGAGTCTAGCTGTTTTGTAGAGAGATTCCAAGTCTTTTTATCCTAGATCTAGTCAAACAATCTTGTCAAGTTCGGTTGATGTTTTTAAGTTATTTAAAAGGTTTTTCATTTGCATTAAGTCAATGATGCATTAAGTCAGTGAAATGCAGCATTTACTCCTCTTGGGTCAAGGACTATATCTTGCATTGTGTTGGTAATTCTTGTCATTTCTTCACACTGATCATTCATATACAGTGGGGCAAAAAAGTATTTAGTCAACCACCAATAGTGCAAGTTCTCCCACTTAAAAAGATGAGAGAGGCCGGTAATTTTCATCATAGATATACCTAAACTATGAGAGACAAAATGAGAAAAAAAAANCGAGATTAAACTCAACATGACATTTCAACTTTATTCTCGAAATGTTGAGTTTAATATCGACATGTCGACTTTAAAGTCGACATGTCGAGCTTAATCTCGTCATGGCAAAAATATTTTTTCTCTTCATGTGTGGCCCTAATACTCCGTCGTAGATTTGAGAGGACAGAGCATACACACAGTTATTAACACTAGTAGCTCCCTGAGACGCTTTATATATGAGAAAAACAGCAGAGCAGATGATCTATCAGCTGGTTTCCAAGTCTTAAAGGAGAAAATACAGCAAATACAATCCATCACAGTAAAAGCTAAACAGATTTTTCACTAAACACTAAAAGCACAGAGCCAAGAGTATCAGCTATATAATGGGGACATTAAGTTACTGACAGCAGTAGCTCAGATGATGCTGCTGTAGCGCCCCCTGCAGGAAGGTGTCACAAATAAACAGAAGAGCAGACCAGGTGTAGCTTTTATTAAGAGAAAAAACAACAAAGAAAACGTTAAGTTTAGAGCTGAAATAATAGAAAAAATATATACATTTGAATAGCCAAGTTTAGAAGCTTGACAAGGGGTCTACCTCCAGTCTAAGGTTGGTAGCTGGTTCTACTGGAGGAGGCCTGATGCTAACGTAGGCAGGGGGTTAGAGAGCAGGGCATTCATCTTCAAAAAAAAAAAAAGAAAACTGCAATAAGAAAATTGGTCTGAAACTCAGAGTCTTACTTAATGTCCCGGTGCAATAATCTTAACCCAGGAATGCTCCTTAGACGTGTCCCAGTGTCCAATGATCACTAAGAACTTTAAAGGGATATTCCTGTCTTTTTTTCCTCAACAGATCATCCTCCCAGTATAGTTTTTAAAATGTTCAAAACCAACAGTAAATCTGCAGTCTGAGATTTCTTAAGAACATATGGAATAATCAGATCTTTGATATAAGATGGAGCTTGATAATTTATGCTTTAAATATATGTGTGAAGAATATTTTTGATTAACAGAGAGTGGTGAAGATAAGCTTAAATAGGAGAAATATAATCTGTTTCTCAGATTTTGATCTCAACCCTTGCAGCCACATCGCTTGATAGAATGAAGCCTTTTCACTGCATTTTGTTTTACTTTCATATGATAAAGAATTACAATAGTCCAGTCCTGAAGTATACATGGAGAGGATTTCCACATCACTCCTAGTCAGGATCATTGAAATTTGGACTATATTATAATTTTAAAAAAGGGTAACCCTAGAAACCTGTTTAACATGTGAATGATGGGAATCATCTTGTTTCATGTTAATCCCA